TTCCACCACTTTGTTGTTGTATTAGTACCTCCAAGTATATAAGAAAACAATTTATGCAAGCATCTGCTTAGCACCTCTTGCATCTGTGTCCAACACCTGCCCTATCACCCATTTTTTCACCCTTCTTGTTGCTTCACAGTAAACAACCACGAGAGAGCATCACACAAGATTTGCTGGTCTTCAATTTATACTCCAAAAAGAAATATTGTCACAAACAAACTGCAGCACCAGCAGATACTTCTTTGACCCTCCTATTACTGCCTCCAGAACATTAYATTTTGTCATTAAAATATTGATTCACTAAACTATTCAACAGAAATTTGAATCAATTTCCAACCCAATTCACATGGACTCAATTCTTTTAATACAGTTAACCCTAAATACCATGTATTTACTTGGCCTTGCCTCCACAACCTCYCCTCAGAGGGAGGTGATCCCCCCCTCCTTCTTGCAGCAGCAGCTAGGAGGATTCTTCTCCCAGAAGTCCTGATTCTGAAAGTCATATCGCCTCCTCTAGTTTATATGAAGGTGAAACATATATTTAAGATTTTTTAAAATGATTTTTCTCATCTAATTATAATGCACAAATTAATGGAGATACCTGATACTACTACTATGGTTTTCATAACAATTGAAACTGGTGGTATAACAACAAAAGCAAGTTCTTGTCAGCAATAGTACTAGTAGTAGTACTAATACTACTAATGCTGCTACTACTACTAATACTGTTAATAAGAATGGTGCTACTAGTAGTACTAGCAATATAAACAATCAAGAACAAGAAGAAATTCTCCTTCTTTCTTCTTACCACTACGTCACAGTACTACCACTAGTACTACTAGTAGTACTAGAAGTACTATTGTCAGTAGCTACTAGTACTAGCTACTGAAGACCTAGTACTAGTACTAGTACTAGCTGGTACAGTACTAGTACTAGTAGCTACTAGTGGTGCTAGTGCAACTACTAGTAATAGTAGTGCAACTAGTAATAGTAGTACTACTAGTACTAGTAGTAACAACAGGAGGAGGACGAGTACTACTAGTACTACTAGTACTACTACTAGTAGTACTAGTAGTAGGGAAGAAAAATTAGTACTAGTATGACCCAAATCAACATCAAAATTGACAACCACAAACAAGCTAGCTTGAACTCTAGAGGACTATTCTTCCACTGGTTGTAGACAAGCTACTAGTAGTACTACTGGCAGTTAAGGTGAGTAGTATTAMTGCTGGGAATCATKTTGGAATTCCTTRGTGTTTCTGGTCTCATTCAACCATGTGTTTGTCTGGCCTTCGTTACGACCGATTCTACAACCTACCCATCAAAAAATCCAAGAACAAAATCCTTTCGTTGTTTKGTGAACAGAGCAAACGAAACAAAAATGAGTACCGAGTCGAGTTCATCGAGCCCTTGAGRTGTTGCTCACAATACAGAAACGCGATTGGAGGAAAGGATGCCATCTTCTATTCTTASCAACAGTAGTAGTRCTGGCGTGCGGACTAGGAATCGAGCCATACCGCTATTCACTCCAACGAATCGTCGTGCGTTTTGCAGCTGCAAATTTGCTTCCATCGGCCTGTGCAACTTGCTGACCATTGCGATGTTGATTTCTACGAGAAGCTTTTGCTGGGCGCTGAAACAATCGTCGCCGTTGTCATCGCTGACTAAAAGCAGAAGTTTCGGCAACGCAARGGCTTTGGTGTTTGGAACGACTCGTATCAACAGCAGCAGCAACAACCGCGAACCACCACGATCTGTTTCACGATATTTTAGCAATAGAGATCCGTATAGTGGAGGAGGTTCGTCTTACTCCCGCAATCGTCCAGGTCGCAACAGTCAGTCGTATAGAGATTCCGAGAATTCYTTCATAGACCGTAGAAGSCGGTACAGAGAAAACCGAGACTACAATTCCGATTACGATTTTACTCCAGACGAGTACGACGATGCYGGGGATGCTGCACGACGCCCTCGCCGCACGAATACTGGAAGGGACAACCACGTGGACAAAGGTCGAAGCCGATATTCCACAGATGGGCGAAAAAAGGAACGGTCGGGTCGTTCTTTGGATGGTCGTGGTCGAGGGGGACGAGGACGGGGAAGGGGCCGCGGGAGGGGCGKTGGGCGAARCAATGGCAGAGAAAGGTCTCAGGAGCAACGCAAGCTGGAGAGGCCCCCAACGCCTTCTTTGGCGTCCCGCCCAACCTATTTTACATGCCGACACACATACGAGTCGGCGCTTCGCCAAGAACTCCAGCGGTCGATCGCTGCACAAGCGCGAGCAAAATCGTCCGATATAGCTCCCAATTATAAAGAACTCGTTTCCTTTTCGAAACCCCACCCCGGCCTAGTGTTGGTTTCCACGGAAGACGATGCCATCGCTTCCTTTCTATCTACGCTGCGCCCCACCTATGCGCTCCAGACCCTTTCCAACTGCGTCGTTGTCCAGGCCGAGAGCATCAAGGGATTGGCCAAGGCGGTCCTGGGCTCTCAGATTGTGGAACAAGGTGGAGGCCTCCTTCGAAGCGAATTGGTATCGGCATCGAGGGGATCCCTGGCCGTTCATGCTCTTGTCCCCGAAATGGGACGCGGAATGCCGGAACCGAACCTCCMGCAATACCGGCGGGCGACCAAGATTGGAGAAGAAATAGCGGCGCAGCTCCAAAAGCGGTGCAAGGCGGCCCGGAAGGCCAATGCCGACGACGAATGCCACGAAAAATGGCTGTTGCAAATCATGTTGCTGGAACCCCAGGTTGTGGCRGCGAGTTTTTCCAGGTGCAGAAGCCGTGAACCCTCCTCTCCCGGGCCACACTGGACTTGGCCCAGCTGGAATCTYCCMGCCGGCCTTGCGTACGTGGAASTCGACGAGGGCAACGACGGCGGCTACGACGACGACKACGACTACGACAGGTCACCAAGAGAAGGAGGGCGAGACAACACAKGCAGCCACGTCACGGTCCCCTCCTCGGCCTATCGTAAGCTGCTCGAGGCCTTTTGGTACCTCGGAGAGCGGCCTCCCTCGTCTTCCCCCCACCCGGTGATAGATCTCGGCGCCTGTCCCGGGGGATGGACGGGAGCCCTGCGGCGCATGGGCTGCAGCGTCGTCGCCGTGGACCGATCGCCCCTCGACGAGGGGCTCATGGGGGATCCGAGGGTCACCTATGTCGGGGGGGACGCCTTTCGCTACGTCCCGCCCTGGGCCAGAAASGASAACGACCATTGGCCGGGAAAGACGCTCGGAGAACCCGTTCCCAACACCTGGATGGTGTCCGACATCATCGCATACCCCGACAAGATCACGGAGCTCCTGGACCATTGGTGCGGTCGAAACTGGATTTCGCACGCCATTGTGACCATCAAGTTTCAATCGGAGATCCCCTGGGAGGACGTCGAAAACGCCACGGCGATTGTGAGAGGGCACGGCTACGATTGCCGGACGGTCCACTTCTTCAACAACAAGAACGAGATTACGTTTTTGGCGGTCAAAGAGGGTTGCAGCAACGACAACAACGATAGTTCGAATCTGCTTGGAAAGCCAATGTACTCTCCCATACTGCCGAATCCGAAGAAAAAATAGTTCGATAGAAGAACTTTTGAGCACAACTGGTTCTCTCTGTAGCAGTCTAGAAACTCAGAAAATCGTACCCTGTTTGCCGTAGTAACTACTGCTGCTACTAGTAGTGCAAGTGGCAAACTCCGATACTGCTACTATACGAAGAAGATAATGAAAAGACGTTTCGATAGGTGCRGGATAATAGTCCCTCTACCTATGCATTGTAGCCGGTGCAAAAGGAACCTCTTCAGTCAGTTGCACACCTGCATCGCATTATGATCGTTCTACTAGAATCTAGAACCCTGGACTCTGGACTAGGGACTAGTAGTCTCCAAAGTACGTACTTCTAGGTACGTTTGTATGGTACGTAAAGCTATTTAATATTAATATTAACCTTAATGGTGATTGTCCGAACAGCAGACAGAAAACGCGCCATCCCAATCAATGCACCGATGTGCGTACTTTCAAAAAATCCTKGACCAATCCTGGACCAATCAAAACACTCGATTCAAACGTCACTCCGCTACCGATGCAAAGCGCCTGGTTTTAAAAATGGATTTCGAGTTCTTGATGCCYTCGCAAGTCAAAGACACGAGAGAATTGGAATTTTGATTTGACGAAGCTCCTTCAGCCCCACCAGCACGAACGTTGTATCTTGTTGAGCTAAAAGTTTAATTTTGGACAGAAAGATATCAAATCGGGCCCCGCGGCAAACATATGCAACACCATCCAATCCCAGAGAAGGTGTCAAACAAGAKCAGTATTGGAGTACAGACGACGCGTTCCGGATCACAATAGATGCTATTGGTATAGTACGAACCAGGATCTTATACTTGACAGACAACAGGGAGCAGAACAAGTCCTCCCGTTCTTGCGACCATGAACTCCTTTGTGAGCGCGAGACTCCTGCCTGTTTTGTTGCTGTTGGTATCGGAAGGYGGACGATTCCRGCACGCCCATGCGTTCTATTCCAATACCAGGCAATCGGTCCTTCCAAAGCCGCACGGGAAGGAATGCCAAMGGCAACCAGAACAGGGGTTCCCCGGGGTCTCTCGCAAGACCGAACGCAGCAACCTCTCCTCYTCCGCGAAACCCAACGATGCGGGCGACCAGGCGCCCCAGGAACCGCCGCCGATCATCGACATCGAGCTTCCACCGGAAGACGGCGAAACAGAGACCACCACGAACTCCGCCGGTGCTCCGGAAGGGTTCGACCCGATCCCCGCTTCCGGCGGCGAGGGATCCCCCCCGGAGGAATCGGAGCCCCTGGCCGCTGCCCCRTCCGCGGAAGCCGATCCGCTGGACGACCTGGATGCGGCGATTGCCGCGGCGCGGGCCCCACCGGCCGGGATCAAGATCAACGATCCCCTTTCGCGGGGCACGGAAAGCCGGTCCCTGATCAACGGGGACGTCGTGTCCAGCGGRCCCGCCAGGGCGAMACGACCGGCCACGGGAGGCATGTTCCGCGCCGGCAGCCGGGACGGCATGTCCTTCGAGGCTCCTCCCCCCCCAYCCCCAACCAGGCGAAAAGTCGTACAGATGGCCCGGAAGAAAGAGCCCGCGCCCTCCACCTTTCGGTCGAGCGAGCTCAGCGACATGAACTTCGAGGCCAAACCGATGGACTCGGCTCCCAAAAAACAGCGCGTGGTCCGGATGGCCCAGAAGGAAGAACCCGCTCCGTCGACCTTCCGGCAGAGCGATCTCAGCGAYATGAGCTTCGAGGCAAAGCTCGAAGCCCTYACCAAAACCCGCCTGGTTCAGATGGAACAGAAGGAGCAACAAGGAACAAAGAAAACGACACCGGTCGCGTCGTCCATGTTCCAGCCCCGGGATTTTAGGAGCAACAGCGGAACCACTAGCGACGGCATGACCTTTGACTACCAAGCGCCTTCTCCCAAGAAGCAGCGCATCGTCAAAATGGCCGAAGCCCAAGAGCCGGCTCCCTCGACCTTCTCGAGTGCCGGAGGCAGCGACATGTCGTTCGAAGCCAAGAAAGACGTTGYTCCGCCCACGAAAASAAGAGTGGTCAGAATGGCGGAAAAAGAAGAGTACTCCCMCTCTACGTTCGAGASCACAACCAGCGAGATGTCCTTTGAGCCCAAGGCCGAGATCATACCGCCCACCAGGAAACGAGTGGTTCAAATGGCCGAGAAAAAAGAATTTGCTCCGTCCACCTTCGAGAGCACAACCAACGAAATGTCCTTCGAAGCCAAGGCGGAAATCCTTCCGCCCACCAAGAAGCGAACCGTCCAAATGGCCGAAAAGAAAGCATTTGCGCCCTCAACCTTCGAAAGCAGGGGCAGCGACATTTCGTTCGAGGCAAGGCCGGATGTTTTGCCTCCCAAAAAACAAAGGATTGTTTCCATGGCCGAAACCGTCGCATCACCGCCTGCCCCGTCTACGGAGGAAACCAAATCCACMGAAGCGGAAGCGGAAASCCAACAGATCGTGCCGCCTACGACAGAGAGATTCGCACAGCAGGCCAAGCAAAACGAATCTGCCTCGTTGGCCTACGAAAGCATTGGGAGCAAAATGTTTGAGGCACGAGTCGCCGAGCCTTCGCCGGCGCAGGACATCSCCGGTGCAACGGACAAGGAAGAGCCCGCACCYCCGACCGGAGACAGCGAACCGCTTGCAGAAACGCAACCGGTGGCTCCCGACGCYCCGAAAAAACCACGCATCGTCCAAAWGGCCGAAAACAAAGAASCMGCGCCCTCGACCTTCCGAAAGAGCGATCTGAGCGACATGTCGTTCGAGGCGAAACCGATGYCATCCGACGCTTCCAAGAAGAAGCGCATTGGAASSATGACCGAAAAGGCACAACCCGCTCCATCGACTTTCAAAAACGACGAGAGCGGAATGATGTACGAAGCTGCTCCGGGACTKATGTTCGAAGCCGCTATTGTCGAAACGACGAAGCYATCGGCRCCGGCAGAGGAAAAGAAAAACGAAATCGAACCGYCACGGGTGGCGCCAGAAGAAACCTCACCTCTGGCCCAACAGGACGAGGAAGAAAGGAAGCCAGAGCCGGACGAAGCACCAACATCGGTCGCATCTCCGCCCCAGGATGAAGAAACGGTTCAGGTAGAATCAGCCGCAACTCCTYTCAAGACAGAAGAGGAGGAGGAGCCACTCGTAGAACCGAAAGCAACCACGGCTCCACCCGAKCAGGAATACGAACCTGCTCCAGGGTTGATGTTCGAAGCCAAAGTAGAAGAAGCTGAAACACCGGCAACCCCATCTCCATCCCTTGAAAGGGAGGAGACCCTCCAGCCACCAGTAGTACAAAAAGCGCCGACACCAACCCCCGAGAAAGAAGAAARAGCGGAGCCACTCATAGTACCAGAAGAGATTGAAGAAATGAAAAAGAAGGAAATTTCTGGTCCTGAGCAGCCAACAGTAGTGGAAAGCGCAACCGCAGGTACTTCCTTGGAGACTGAAACCGAAGTCGTAAACAATCCTCCGAAGAAAAGAGTTGTTCCTCCTTCGACAACATCAATGTTTCGAAGCGTAACGCCAGCAACGGATAAACCTCCTCCATCGAGGACCATGTTTCAATCCAAACAACCCGTCAAGGACGAAGCTCCTCCTTCCAGGACCATGTTTCAAATTAGAAAACCCTTCAAGGAAACACCTGCTCCTTCGCGGACGATGTTCGAACACAAAAAATCCGATRAGGAAAAACCTCCTCCTTCAAAGACAATGTTTACGAACAAAACACCCGAAAAGGAGAAACCTCCCCCTTCAAAGACAATGTTTGCAAACAGAATACCCGAAAAGGAGAAACCTCCTCCCTCGAGAACGATGTTTGAAAGGAAAACGTCAGCAAAGGAGAAACCTCCTCCTTCGACAGCAATGTTCCGTAGGAAGGWCTCCGAATCATCATTCGATACGAGAGCTGAGGCTTCTGTTGTCACTGCACCATCGAATTCATCAGAATCAACAGAATCAACAACAGCAGAACTGACAGAATCAGAAGGAGCCCAACAGCAAGTTGAACCAAAATCGGCCGTAAAGAGTGAAGACTCCCCACCGACCAAGGTGCCGCGCAGCGATAATGTTGAAACATCATTTGAAACAAAAAAGTCGCCACCGACAGAAGAGAAAGCTGTTCGATCCCCGGAGGAGAAAGAATCACCCTCTTCCTCCAAGGCAATTCAAAGCAAAAATAATGACATGTCATTTGAAGTCAAGAAACCAGCTCCAAAGGAACAAGTCAAACGTATTGTCAAGATGGCGGAAAAGAACGAAGCTCCGCCATCGAAACTTTTCCAAAGCGACGATAGCGGCATGATGTTCGAGGCACGGCGAAGATCGGCTCCAAGTACTGTCCAGGGAGGTTCAATGTTCGGGGCACGAACAACTAAGCCGGCAGCCAACAAACTGGAACCATTCAAAAACTTGGTGAAGGGCTCGGGCGCTTTGATCAGTTCGATGTTCCGTCCGCGTACTACAGCCGGACCCTCTGCCGAGGAAAGGGAAAAGGCAAGCTTGGCCGAAGCGGCACGACAACAAGAAAAAGCGAGAGTTGCAGAACAGATGCGATTGGCAGAGCAAAGAAGACTCGAAGAAGAAGCAAGGCAAAAAGAAGCCAGAGTTGCAGAACAGATCCGATTGGCCGAGCAAGAAAGGGTTCAAGAAGAGGCTAGACTTGCGCAAGAAGCACGACTTTCAGAAGCTGAAAAGGCACGGCTTGCAAAAGTAGCGGAAGAGATTAGATTAGCTGAAGAACACAAAATGGCGCAAGAAGCGCAGTTGGATAAGAAAGCTAGGCTTGATGCATTGGTCGACGAAGAGGAGAAGAAACTCACTGAAACTGCTCAGCTAGTCGAAGAAGCTCGAGAAAATGAGGAAAAGAAAGGATTGTTCGAAGACGCACGTGCCGCTGAACAGAAAAGAGAGACACCTAGAGTTGCAAAAGCGTCTCAACTGGCCGAGGATGTACAAGAGAAAACGCCAATGATCAAAGTTCCTCGCACAGCCTCTTCGAAGAAAATCAAACGCAAAGACACAGGGATTGGTGTTGAAATAAGCCTCGGCAGCCCACCAGCTCGAAGATTGGTCAAGATGACAGAAAAGAAAGACTTRCCSCTCCAAAAGGCTGTACGAGGCACCGAATCTTCAAAGCCACGCGAGATAATTCAGAATATTTCAAAGACACCAGAGAAGAAAGTGGCACCTAGTCCAAAGGCATTCCAGGGTTCGAATGATAGCATGTCATTTACAGTTCAGCCTGCCAGAACAAGGGTTGTGAAAGCTTCAGAAAGAAAAGAAGTGGCTGTCTCGGAGTCAAATCCATCAAACGGATCCAAAGCAAAAGTAACCGACGCCAATAACTCAGCTTTGTTTCAGCGGGGAAGCAAARAGGCTACATTTGATAGCGATGGATCGCAATTTGTCTATCAGAGTACGAAGGAAAAAAGATTATTTCTGGCACAAAAAGTTGCAGCTCAAATGTTCAAAGCGCAAGAAAGTGCTCCCGCTACACTTGAAAGYAGTRACGATGGTATGAACATGGTCATAACAGGAAGAAAGCCAACGAGAAAAGTGAGAAAGGCAACCGATGATAGTATATCTGGCAATCGTTCGAATACCGATGGTGACCTCGCTTCAAAGAATTTGCCTCAAGATATCCCTGGAAACTCGGACAACGACAGCATGAAGATGGCTAGTTTTATCGCAAATAATTTRAGCAAACAAGCACCCGCTTTTGGCAGCATCCAGCAGTCGAAAATGGATGTTGGTTCGGCAAAGATAGCTACCACTGATGTTCAGAAATTTGCGAAATTTGTCAGTGATGGATTGCAAATGGTAAATGCAGAATCCCAAAAGAAAAAGAAAGTAGTAACACTGGAAGAAGCAAGACGGGAGAGAAAGGAACGCAAACGGAAAAAGATCTTTGGGTTTGAGATCGGTCCGTCTGAAGAAGAAATTGCCGCGCAGTTAATGGAGGGTGGGAAACATCTCGCCGTTGAGGGCGGAAAACAACTTGCAAAGTTTACTAGTGACGGCCTTAACATGGTGTACCGTGCTGCAGAAAAGCAAACCAAGGAATATATTTCATCGTCAGTAGYGAAATCGGCTAMAAGTAAAGACTCATCTCACGCGAAGAAAAATAAACATGTTTCAAACGAAGTGAATCCCGCCCTTTTTTTTGCCACAAGCGACGATACCTCTATGAAAAAGAAAGCAGAAACGCAAAAATCTTCCGCAGTTGCTCCATCAGAATCTTCCTCTGCGGCTCACGGCGGGAAGAAGGGCGAGAACGACGCCAAAACAAAGAAGGCGAGTTCAGCGATTGATACTCCAAAACCTTTTTTTGCAGTTTCCACCAGCGAAAATAATGCACCAAAAACAGAAAAAGCATTCAAGGAATCAGTATCTTCCTCCCATGTTTCAGTATCAATCGGGCAGAATACYGAAGAACCAATCAAAGATGCCTCTACGTCGTCGCTATTACGAAGTGGAGGACGTATGTTTGTTAAGTTCGTAGGAGATGGATTGCAAATGGTTCAAAAAGTAGCAACAACGAAGGAAAAGCAATATCGTCGGCCGCGAAAGTAACTCCGTGACGTCAGTTCAAGTTCCAGGTACCTTAACGACAAGCTTGTGTTTCACTCTCCCTTTCTGCTCAATCTCACGTCATTCTTTTTTTCAGTAGCACAAGAATTRTACCTCTGATAATTCATGCGCACAGAAACCTACATGAACWTACASCGCAAATTTATTATTTGCTACTTCGGTAGATTTCGTAGACACAAAGAAATCATTGATGCATATCATCACTCTTTTCTTWCTATTCAGCCTTRAACTGCAATAGATCAATCAAGCAAGTAGCCCCGAAGTATATCAGAGATTTACGATGAATAGCTTTAGAGAACAAAACAATTTAAAGTAAAATAAATCTACTATGGTCATGATTGCTGAAGAGGATTTYCCCTCCCCCAAAAGAACACGAGAATTCAAACATTGCAGTCGTTTGTCAAGCTCTTGACCTCATCCTTTCACGAGTATCGAGTGTGGCAGCATAGATAATCACTTTCTTTCCAAAATAAGGAAAATTTTTCGTGCAACCGCACTGAATAGAAACACGAATCGATGCCGAAGATATTTTTAGCTTTTTTTTCTACACCAGAGCTAACAAATCAAAGAGGCTATTGCTTTCTTCGTCTTCTCCTTGTTCTGCTRCCAGGTAGGTCACAAATCCCGCACCCGTCTGCTTGTCGAATCCCTTTTCGGCTATGTCAACAGTGTGCTTCTCTCGAAGCAACTTGCGGAGCTGGTAATCGGTATATTTCGTCGGTTCGTCGGACAAGAGGCAGGCAATCAAGCCTGTCACGTGCGGGGCTGCCATAGAGGTCCCCGACATGATCTGGTGACCTCCTCCGGGCTTGAGAGATATCACATCTTTTCCAATGCCCGAAAAGCTTACTTTTGCATTGGACTCGCTGAAGTTTGCGGGTGGTAGACCGGCCTCCTTGCGGACGGCAGCGACACTGATGGTCTCGTCGAATTGGGCGGGGAATGTATAGAGCTCGTCGGTGTTGCCGTTGCCGTCTCCGTCGTTGCCGGCCGCGCATACCATGTGAACACCCTTGCGTTTGGCGTATTGTACGGCCTTGGTGATTGCCGGTAATACCGGATACGAGCACCGCAACGAAAGGTTGATGACGTGACACTTGTCGATGTCGACCGCTGATCGGATGGACTTGGCAATGGCCACGTCTCCCGTAAAGTCTCCGTCCTTGCCAAAGACGCGGTAATCGAACAACTCGGCCTCGGGAGCTACGTAGTGAATGGTTCCGGCCACGTGGGTTCCGTGATCGTCTTCCAGGAGAGATGTCCCGTGGCGAAACCAACGMTTGGTCCGAACCTTGTCGTGGAGTCCGGGRTGGGTGTGGTCGACACCGGAATCGATGATGGCTACCCGCACCCCCCTTCCCGACAATCCGTCSGAGCGGAGCTTATTGGCTCCGTGCAAGCGAGCTCCCATCGGCAATCGATTGGGATCCATTGCATCATAATCATAGCCACTAGGAGATTCGACGCTCGCGATGCCACCGGCATCGGTTGCGGTTCCACGCACGACGCGTGGCCGAACCATGTCGTATTTGTAGGGACCAGATCGGTGCTGGTTAAGGAGTGCTTGTTTGTTGTCGGCAAAGCTCATGTTCATGTAAGAGTCGTCTACGCTTTTCCGCTGGWTTTTGCGTCGTCTATCGCAGCATTTTCGACAGGTACAAAGCAAGAGGAGCAATGTCCATATAGCCACGAAGCCCGTGACTACACCGAGGTATTGGTCATGCGTCCAATCCCTGGGATGCGTACTGGTCAGGTCGGAAGTTGCGGTTTTGATCCTACTAGCATAGTCTTTTGCCGTGTTCATGAYATTCGAGGTATCRCTCTCGCTGTCTGCAACCGTGGAGTTATTGTAGGTTGTCAAGTATCGCAAAGCATCGCTGTGAGCAAGCTCTGCTCCAAGCATTCTTCCACGAAGCATGCTCCCTGTCGTCATTCTTGATCTTGTTTCTCGACTCGGAGCAGGGCGTTCTCTCCGAATCACAATKGATCAATGCGATGGCTCTTGTGATGGTGGGTCAATAGCGTGAGAAGGGGCAACATAATTGTCATGAGAGTTGGAACGTCCCGTATTTTGTTTTTCGKTCTCKGTCTCTCTTCAAAAGATACAGTATTCGATACGGAAAATAATGAAACGCGGGCTATTTAATTGTTTTTGTTCTCGTACAAGTTACATAACCATAGTGAACGGTACGGAACGACGGTTTTCGGGTTCAACGGATCGATAAAAACGAGAAACGCATGATGAAACAAAGCGAATGCGCGCCTCAATSTACAAACCTTACTACGTGTACGTATTTCAGAATTAATTTTTYAACCTTCGATACTCTGCCGTACGTTCGTACCGGTACGAGTAAGGCACGACCGACAGTGGTCATACAGTACTTAAATAGTTACGTACGTACGAGTACTTCTACTTTTCAACTGTACGAGGGATCAATTTTTGGCTCCCGTCAACTTGTAAACTAGAATTGACTGACTCGACTCCATTTTTTGCCTCTCGCCTCTACGCCAAAAGTACAAAGTACGGTAATCGTACGTACGTACCTTATTACCGRTCGTGGGATGGTGGTTGGTTGTACTGTCAGGGGGTACACATATCGCTCTTTTCTTCAAAACCTCAAGTTTATGTTGAGATRCAGATACTTTGATTTTCGATTCCGTTCTAATCTAATCAGCTTWATCATGATCTATGATACTTCTATGTTGTACTTATTCTACATTGTAATTCTATTGGTGCGAACAGACCCAAGCGTGTTCGTGCTCATTCTTTTCGTTCTCCCCTGGCCCCTCAATTTATCTAACAGGAGTTGGCGGTTGGAGGGGTGCATTTGACTTCCATGATGTAACAAGTGGCAGCTTGTTGTTCCCGGGGTATGGATGTGTCCGGAGAGCAACACTTGGGTACAAGCGACAGAGGATCCTCTACCACTCGTGGTGGCAATAGAATACTGTTCTCTACGTTGTCGACAAGACAGATCTGTAATTCGGCGTAGGGGTTCAAAACATTGCAGGCAAGCTCGAACGTCTCGAACGGATCGGATCGAGAAAAGGGYACCTGCGCTTGCTCGTAGCACTTGGCATTGCCCCAGAAGTTTTTCCCGGGCGCATAAAACTGGTAGTAGACGGAATCCAGGACCTGGTCTTCGCGACTCCAGACTTGGTTGAGGCTTACGGTTACGGTCGAAATATCTTGCCGAACAATATTTACAGCATTTTGCATTGGATCTTCGGATGATACAAGGCCACTACCCTTTTGTCTCAGAATCTTAACATCTCCAGCACAACCGACTCGCGGTTCATCGGATACCAATTCTAGCGAGACWAGGTTGTCTTCCTCTTGGTTGATCTCGTCTTCCACCCTCTTTTCCTCGTAAGGTGGTCGGGTGTAGATGGGAGGCTCGGTTCCAATTTCATCCAGATTCTCGTCCTCTTCAAGCTTYKGTTCGGCAATGGGAGGAATGACTGGTGGTGTTGGAACGTCTTGGTCTTCTTTCTCATCGTCAAGCCTAGGGGCATAGGTGGGAGGAGTCAATGGCTGATCCARAGGCACATTGATCTCTTTCGGCGGTTCCGTTGCGGGAGGGATGATAGGTTCATCGACCTCAACAATTTGTTTCGGGGTTTCAACGTTCTTCTCCTCGTTTTTATTCTCAACCCCTGGGCCGTCAGTAGCGGGAGGGACAATAGGCTCATCAACATCAAAAATTCCTTCCAGTAGTTCTAAATCTTTATCTTCATCATTCTCTTCATCCAACCCAGGGCCATCAGCAGGAGGGGTGATAGGTTCATCGACCTCAAMAATTTGTTTCGGGTCTTCAACATCCTTCTTCTCTATCTCCCTTTCAACCCCTGGGCCGTCAGCAGCGGGAGGGACAATAGGCTCATTGACAACAATGATTTCTTCGGGTGCTGCAGTGTCCTCCTCTTCTTTCCTTTCATCA